ACTCAATCAGGAGGAAACAAAAAACCTCAATAGGCTGGTAACTACTGATGAAACTGAAACAGTAATCAAAAAACTTCCAGCAAACAAAAGCCTTGGACCGGATGGCTTCACATGGGAGTTTTACCAAACATTCAAAGAAGAACTAAAACCTATCCTTCTCAGACTATTCAAAAAAATTCAAGAAGAAGGCACACTTCCAAGCTCTTTCTATGAAGCCAGCATTACTGTAATCCCAAAACCAGATAATTACACTATAAAGAAAGAATTACAGGCCAATATCCCTGATGAACATAGATGATAAAGTCCTCAACAAAATTCTAGCAAATCAGATCCAGCATTACATTAGAAAGATCATACATCATGACCAAGTGGGATTTATTCCAGGGATGCAAAGCTGGTACAATATCTGCAAATCAATAAACGTGATACATCACATAAACAAATTGAGAGACAAAAATCACATAATCATTTCAATGGATGCAGAAAAGGCATTTAACAAAGTCCAAAATCCTTTTCTGATAAAAATGCTCAGCAAAGTGGGAATAGTGGGATCATACCTCAGCATAATAAAAGTCTTATATGACAAACCTACAGCCAACATCATACTCAATGGGCAAAAACAAAAACCATTTCCCCTAAGAACAGGAACAAGACAGGGATGTCTACTTTCACCACTAATGTTCAACATAGTACTAGAAGTGCTAGCCATAGTGATCAAACAAGAAGAAGAAATAAAAGGAATCCAGATTGGAAAAGAAGTAAAATTATCATTATTCACAGATGATATGCTATTGTACATAGAAAACCCGAAAGACTCCATCAAAAAACTACTAGACATAATCAATGAATTCGGCAATGTAGCAGGTTACAAACTTAACACCCAAAAATTTATGGCTTTTTTATACACCAATAGTGAACTCACAAAAAGAGAAACTAAAAAAAACAATCCCACTTACTATTGCAACAACAAAATTAAGATACCTAGGAATAAACTTAACCAAAGAGGTAAAGGACCTGTACTCAGAAAATTACAGGATGCTAAAAAAAGAGATAGAGGAAGATATAAACAAATGGAAGAATATACTGTGTTCATGGATTGGTAGAATCAACATCATTAAAATGTCCATACAACCCAAAGCAATCCAGAGATTCAATGCAATCCCCATTAAAATACCAATGGCATATTTCAAAGACCTAGAAAAAACTCTCCAAAAACTTATCTGGAATAAAAAAAAAAAGACCCTGAATAGCTGCAACAATCTTGAGAAAGAATAAGTTGGAGGGATAACAATATCAGCTATCAAGCTATATTACAAAGCCATTGTTCTCAAAACTGCCTGGTACTGGCACTAGAAGAGAAATATAGACCAATGGAACAGAACAGAGAACCCAGAAATTAACCCAAGCCATTATGCTCAATTAAGATTTGACAAAGGCGGCAAGAGCATGCAATGCAGTCAAGACAGTCTCTTCAATAAATGGTGTTGGGAAAATTGGACAGATACATACAAAAAAATGAAACTAGACCACCAATTACCCCATACACAAAAATAAACTCAAAATGGATAAAGGACTTAAACGTAAGACTGGAAACCATAAAAATCTTAGAAGAATCGATACACAGCAAAATATCAGACATATGTCATAGCAATATGTTTACAGATACAGCTCCTAGGAGAATGGAAGCTAAGGAGAAAATAAACAAATAGGACTACATCAAAATAAAAAGCTTCTGTACAGCAAAAGAAACCACCAACAAAACAAGAAAGTCTACTGCATGCAAGAACATATTTGCCAATATTATTTCATATAAGCGTTTAATCTCCAAAATTTATAGGGAACTCATACAACTTAACAAAAGGAAGATAAACAATCCAATAAAAAAATGAGCAAAGACCTAAATAGATACTTTCGAAAGAGAAGATACAGAAGGCCTAGAGACATATGAAAAATGCTCAAAGTCACTAATCATACGAAAGATGCAAATCGAAACAACAATGAGGTACCACCTCACACCTGTCAGAATGGCTATCATCAACAAATCAAGAAATAACAAGTGCTAGTGAGGATGTGGAGAAAAAGGAACCCTCATGCACTGCTGGTGGGAATGCAGACTGGTGCAGCCAGTGTGGAACAGTATGGAGTTTCCTCAAAAAATTAAAAATGGAACTTCCATTTGACCTAGTAATCCCCCTCGTAGGAATATATCCCAAGAAATCAGAAACACCAGTCGGAAAGGATATATGCACCCCCATGTTCATAGCAGCACAATTTACAATAGCTAAGATTTGAAAATAGCCTAAGTGTCCATCAACAGATGAGTGGATTAGAAAACTGTGGTACATCTACACAATGGAATACTACATTGCTGTAAAAAAGAAGGAATTCTTTCCATTTGCAACAGCATGGATGGAACTGGAAAGCATTACGCTAAGTAAAATAAGCCAGTCAGAGAAAGATAAATAACACATGATCTCACTTCTTCGTGGAATATAATGAACAACATAAACTGATGAACAAAAATAGAATCAGAGACATAGAAGCATGCAACAGACTGTCCAACCTATGAGGGAAGGCGGGGGATGAGGAGGTAAATATCAACCAAAGGACTTATATGCATCCATGTGAGCATAACCAATGGACACAGACAGTAGGGGGTGAGGGCATGTGCTGGGGGGTGGGAGTGGCTGGAGAGAGTTCAATGGGGGAAAAAGGAGACTCATGTAATACTTTAAACAATAAAGAATTCAAATTAAAAAAAAAAAGAACACAATGGCAGGTTTCAACAGTAGACTAGAAAGATAGGAAACAAGTGGTTTTTAAACAATAGCATGAATTGTCAGGGTAGGGACAATTTAAACTATAGACAGCATGGAGGGACCTGGAGAGTATTATGCTAAGCAAAATAAGCCAGTTAGAAAAAGACATGTATAACATGATCTCTCTCATGTGGAATCTAAAGAATAAAATAGATCCAGAGACACAGAAGCATGCAACAGACTGAGGCATCTCAGAGGGAAATCATTGGGTGGGGGTGGGAGGTTGGAAGAGATTAACCAAAGAATTTATAAGCATTGTAGAGGCCTGGTCCACGAAATTTGTGCATGGGGGCGGGTGGGTCCCTCAGCCCGGCCTGCACCCACTCCAATCCAGGACCCCTTGGGGGAGTGTCCAACTCGCAATCTGGGACCACTGGCTCCTAACCACTTGCGGGATGGGGCCTAAATCGGCAGTCGGACATCCCTCTTGCAATCCGGGACCGCTGGCTCCTAACCACTTGCCTGCCTATACGCTTATTCGCTGCTGAACCGCTCCCCTGCCAGCCTGATGGCCCCCAACTGCCCTCCCCTGCCGGCCTCATGGCCCCCAACTGCCCTCCCCTGCTGGCTGATCACCCCTAACCACCTCTGCCTCAGCCCACACCACCATGGCTTTGTCCAGAAGGAAGTCGGACGGCAGAAAGACGTCCAGTCTCCTGGTCTAATTAGCATATTACCCTTTTATTAGTATAGATATGCATAACCCATGGACACAGACAATAGTGTTATGAAGACCTGGGGTGGGAGGGCAGGGGCAGGCTAGAAGGGGTCAGTGGAGGGGGAAAGGTCCATCTGTATTAGTTCCAACAATAAAGATAAATTAAAAAAATTAAAAATTTAAACTATGGGATGATTCTTGAAACTGAAAACAGAATGTTTTAGGGAAAAGGAACACTTATACAGCATGATTTTTACTTTTATGGCTTTATCTTCTTCTTTTTAAAGTTTCCTTGAGATCAAGGAAAAAGATTTTACTATTAACTTGCTGAAATTTGAGTTTTGGGTGTTTTGGTATAAAAGTTGGATTTGAGGATATACTCAGTTTATGATTTTCTAAAACTGAAATCAAATTTTGTGAATTTTTTCTATTTCACAATTGGACACATTTTGAAACCATTATGCCAAGAGCCCAGATAAAATGTTCCTTTCCATTGCCTGTATTTGTCTAGAAACTTTATGGTGAGCTCGCAATAATATATCTAGTATGACAACCAGGAATCAAATTTATCTCATGAAAGTATAAAACTGATAGCTCTCATTCTCACGAGTGATGAAGCAATTAACTTTATCAAAGGCTCATAACTACACATCAAAAGAAACTTTAACTCTCCTACAACAAGGTAAAAGATTTTCATGAGCAAATTTTTCTGATTGAATCTTATTTTGGGGGACCTGGCTTTTGTTTTAAAGTTAGAAACAACATTTGAAAGCTTCAAAGTCTCAAACAATCAACTTACTATAAAACTGTTAAGCCCTGGTTGGTGTGGCTCAGTTGGTTGGAGTGTTGTTCCATACACTGAAAGGTGGCAGGTTTGATTCCTGGTCAGGGATGAGTACAGAAGGCAACAAGTCTCTCTCTCTCTCTCTCTCTCTCTCTCTCTCTCTCTCTCTCTCTCTCTCTCAAGTCAACAAATACAAAAATAAAAACATATCCTTGGGTGAGGAGTACAAAAACTGCTAAAACATCCAGTAAGTATTACTATAACTGCTAAAGGGTCTTCTCTGATAAACTTTATAATACTAATTAAATTACTCTATTTGATATTAATAGCTTCTTTCTTATCAAGTACTAAGATCATAACCAAAAAATAAAATAATTTTGGAATTTGTTCTAAAATCAGTCTCTAGAATTTTCATTGGGTTAATATATAAAAATCTGTAGATACAATGACTATCTATATAACCATAAAGTAATAACAATATAACAAATTTAAAACTTCATTCACAAAACTAAGGCAAGAAAATACAACAGACCACTGCCATCCATGACATTAATGTGAAACCCTTGCATGCCTAAATATGGCTCTGGTTGTAATCTAACTTGGAAAGTCATTATCTATTTCTAAAGTTTGCCTAAGGAATTTTCACAATCAATTATAACTACATAGGTATTTACCAAATAGTTTTTGTTCTTTTTTTAATAGAAGTAATAACATAGCAAAAGTCTACAAAATTACTTACTGGGTCCATTAAAAACACTCGAGAAGCTGCAGAAAGATTCAAACCAACTCCACCTGCTTTTAAGGATAGAAGCATTATAGTTGGAGATCCTGCCTCAGTGTTTTGAAAACACTGAATTGATTCAACTCTTTTCTTTTGGGCCATTGAACCATCCAAACGAGTAAACACAAATCCAGAGGCTCTAAAGGAGGGGACAAAAGAGATAAATAACACTTCCTTTACTAAAAAAACATGTGAAGTAATTACAATGTATTTATTCAACTAATTCTCTCACTCTATTTATTTTGACAAATATTTACTAACCATCTACTACAATGTAAGGCTCTGCAGTCAATTTTTTTTTCAATAAATTCAGACTTAATCTTTAAAATCCCATGCACTCAGGAAATATTCTTTATTGTGATTCTGAAATTTATTTTAGATAGATGAATGAATAAAACTGATAAAACGTAAGTATTTTTTGTTATCCAAATCAAAACATATATAAAAATCTTTTATTAAAAGTGAGGAACACTGTTAAACTTACCTGAGTGGTGTTTCTATTAAAGACAGAAACGTTGTAAACTGAGAAACAACTAAACTCTTTATGTTGGGGTTCTTCTTTCTTAAGTCAATCAATGCGTGCATTAAGGCATTGATCTGAAAAAAATTTGGACACCCATTAGGTTCCATTTTGAATTGGCAAAACGCATCCATATTTTTTTATTATGAAGAGAAAAGTGCTATGTTATTTCCCTAAAATGCAAAAGTAGAAGACCACCAATTTTAAAAATTAAGACTGAAAGAATACTCCATAACTTGAAACCTCCTTTTTCCTCTGAAAAACCACCACTAGAAATAAAAAAGCCAATAGTCACTGAAAAGTATAATATTCAAATGACGAATTTAAAGGATAATTATTAGTTTTATACATGGTATTTCTTTACATTGACATAAACAAATAACCAAATATTTTACCTTCGAGCTAGATGTCCATTCCATGTTAGACTTTTTCTCAGTATCACATGTCAGTTCTTCTGGAGGACACTCTAATAAATTGTCTCCATGTATATCATTTCTGCATAAAGGGCATTTAGCATGTGGCTACATAAGAAAGAACAAAATATGAGCGACACTTATCAGAGGAGCAGAAATACAAATTTAGCTAGAATTTTTAAAAAGCTTTATCAATTCTATGTCTCTAATAGCTAGCATTTTATTAAACCTTTTGTCAGATTCACCCATGACACAAATCCATATGTGCTGAACTCCAGGCCGATATAATACTCTAATGTGGTCAGTGATATGGGAAAAAAAGAGAATAAAATATGTGATCTCAACTAACATTAAGAACTTGAAACAATAAATGATATACTATCTACAGACATGTAAAATAAAAAACATAAGTAACAGTTTCTTCAACCTAACTACAATATAGAATACCAGTTCAAACTATTTAGAAGGGAAAAAATTTTCCTCCTTAATGGCTTGGAAAGCCAGTCTAGATCTGTTAAATCCTATTGGTTCATTCAAAATAGTATCTGTTGTGTTTATTTGTACCAAGACATGATAATAAAATAAGATTATCTCTTAAGTAACTACATACCAAATATCATTATAATAAAAAAGATTCTGAAACTAAAACAATGTGAGAAGTCAGTATAGTGGGGTTACCTTTAAGGAGGAGGGAGAGGGTAAATGATTGGGAGGAGCCCAAGGAGACCTAGGTAGTATTTACTTGGATGTGTTCACTCATAATTTACTGAGCTGTACAATCATGACTTGTACATTTTTTTCTATATGTATGTTACACAGCAAAGTTGTTTTTCAAAATTCTATCTCAGTGGAAGGACTGCTTAAAGGATTATTTTACTTCAAAAAATTCTACCATACATAAGAATCTATATGTACCTTAATCAATACCATAGGCAACAGCTACATGTAACAACTGAGCCCTTGAAATGTGACAAAGTCAAATTTAGATGTGCTATACATGTACACAATACCATTGGAATTTGAACTTAAATTGTATTAATAAAGTTTTAAGTTAAAAATATATAAAGTATCTCAATAATTTTTATATTTTAGATATACTAAATAAATAAAAATATATTCTAAGAGGTAACTTCATCTGTTTCTACTAAAAAAATGAAAATTACCTTTGTGTCTCACATTATATATTTATTGGACAGCAATGATGTAAACAATTATGCCACCAAACACATAATGTCTTTTTAGGTTGAAAGCTTTCAATTTTAAGAAATATATCACCTATTAAAACAATGATATAATTAACCATGAAAAGTACATTAGTAAATCCAAGTGCAAAACTCTTATAGTCTATTGGACTTGAGTTTCCATTACATTCAAAACTAATGCATCACTCCATCAAACACTGACTCTGTATGAAGCATAAAACAAACCTGCTCATTCTGGATGACTTGGCAAATACAGGGTTTACAGAAGACGTGTGCACAGTGTGTTATGACAGGAACTGTTAATGAATCCAAGCAAATTGCACATTCTTCATCGGAACCTGAGCTCAGAATTAACTTCATCTTTCTTATTAACTTTTTTTGTAGTTCTTCAGGTGTATCATTTCCTAGAGAAAAGGCTGAAAAATTAATTTCAGAGCAAATCTGTAATATGACTAGACAAGTTAATCTTCCTTATACAGGAGAAAGTTTTGCTTTGGTAGTTTTAGTCTTTTTCTATTAAAGGCAAAAAGCATGGTTTAAATTTGAAATTTTAAGAAAAATCCAGAAGCTGAAATAGTAGCCAACTCACATAATACACTTTGCACAGAAGCATCATTTTAACACAATCTGCACATACTACCACAGAATAAAAGGTAGATCCAAGAATATCGATTAGTGAAAATCGTGGAAGAACTCATTAATATCCCATTTCATTAGTATAAGATTTTGGGGTATATTCCCAGTTGAGTTCTATATTAAAAACAATATCTATGACAAACTAAATTTAGGTATATGAAAAATTTGTCCTTCTGATTTAAGTATCTCTAACAAACAAAATGGTGTAAACAAGCCCTAATTACTTACCTGAGGGAACACTAGAAGACACTGCATTGGTAAGAAGGTGAGCATGACAACAGATCTGCCGCAATCTGAGCAGAAGACCCAGGACATCTGCATAGTGAGCAAGGACAGTCCCTTCATTAAAATACCTACAGGTAAAAATGTTAAATATGACAATGTTTCCTATTCTAAAACAGTAGAATAAAAATTGCATTGTTCTATTCTCCAGAAATTACAAAACAAGAATAAAAAACAGAAAAGCAAACTCTATTTTTAATGAAACCAGGAATGGTTTATAACAAAAAAGCAAAATATAAGAGAAATAGCTGCCAACTGCAGTATGAGTTGGATAGGAAGATGCCAAAAGACATGACTGCAGCTCTCAAGAGACCTTCCAAGCACAGTTCTTTCAAAATAGACCACATGCCTTGGGGTGAAATAAACTTCTCTAATGTGCAAAAAACAAAACCAGGTGCACAACTAGTGGCTTGAATTTCCCTATACAAATTTTACACCAAGAAGGAGTGAAGGTAAGCTGAATAAGGAAACACACAGAAAAGACTATGGACACAGTATTCCACACTATTAGAAACTTAAAGCTTCTGATCTGTTATATGAGCACAAATAAAACCTAAAAGAACTCACATGTAACCCTAAGTCATAACTAAATAGAGACATTTCCTTCCAGTCTGGGCACAGTTTTGACCCCATCCCCTTCATATGAATCTCTTGCAAATAGATAGTCCAGAAAAAACTCAAAACATTCATCTATTAAGTCACAAACAGCAAAGAGCAAGGGAGTTCCAGTGTGGGGTGTGCAGGAAGCAACTGATCAATTACGCTCTCTCATCATTGATGTTTCTAACTCTCCCTCTCCCTTCCTCTCTGAAATCAATAAAAATATACTTTTAAAATTAAAAAAAGAAAAAGAAATTTAGCCTAATGATTAGAGCACAGACTCTATAGCTAGACTTGTCTTGAATTCAAAACCTTACTCTGCCGATTTAACTATGAACTTTGGCAGGTTTCTGTTCCTTTTTATTTTTATCTAAGTTTATTTATTGATTTTTTTTTTTCATGCTTCAATCATTTGAGTCACCTGGCCAAGAGCAAAACCTTGGGCAGCTTTCTTAACCTCTGTCTTGAGCTTCCTTGGCTTGTAGTAGTGACATAACAGTAATAATACACACCTTAGAGGACTGTTGTCATAAAAAGTTAATAAATGCAGAGTATTTAGAATACTGGCTATGGTAAATGATATAAAATATCTGCTGTTACTAGTAACAGTAATATTATGGGAACAAATACTTCTAAGTACTCAAGAATGGAAGGCAGTATATTATAAAGGTTAAACTTATTAGCTCTAGAACCAAAATGCCTGAGCTTAAATACCACTCTGTCATTCACTAGCTGTGTGACACAATAGACTTTACCTAACTGCTCTGTGCCTCTTTACTTTGAAACCTGCTTAGAACAATCTTTCTGAATATCTTTAATTCCTATTAAACCCACCTTGTAACTCACCTAAATTCTTTACGTTTTGTAGATTCCCCTATTTTCTGAGCCCTGTTTTGCCTTCACTTGTCTCCTACTCATTCTGGTTCCTATGGGCATTTAACATCAACCATGCCCTTGCTTGGACTAGAATTTCTCACATTCTTCTAATCCCCAGCCCCTTTAATCTACTTGGCCAACTCCTATTCCTAGATTTCCACGTGTTATTAGAAAATACCACATGAAACCTTTCTACCACTCTAAAAACCTTCCTTTTTTATGGGGGCCTTCCTTATCTCATATACCTTGGTTTTACAGCTCAATGATTGTTCTCTTAATATTCTTTTTAGTATTTACCACCCCAGGCTTCGTTCTTCTTCATCAATTTGCTTCATTCTCTTTTGTACCTGTAATCTTTTCTATGTTCAATCCCTCTCAAGACAGTTACCAAATAAAACTATCAAAATAATTGATCCATAAACAAAATACTGATCCTATCTACCAGTCTCACTTTTACAAACTTTGTAAAAAATTGTCCACCCCTATAGCTGCTACTTCTTTGCAATCTCCTTAGTCCTACAATATAGCTACTTAATTCGTTATTCTAGTGAAACTACTCTGAGAGTTTACACCAGTAATTTCTGAATCACCACATTAAATAGCCTTTTCCAAATGTCTGTACTGTGACACTACTAATCATTCTCTCTTGATTCTCCTCTTTCCTAAAATTCTGTAGCAGTTTTCTCTACTTTCTTCACACTTCTCCACTTGCTGGAATCTCCCTTATTTTTTTTTTTATTTACTTATTTCTTTCTTGAATGTGGACAATCCCCCAAGTTTTGGTCCTTAATAGGTATACTTTCCCTATATACATACTTCTCTCATTGTTTTTATCTACTCCCATGAAACAGTCGGAAGTAGAAGCAAGCAATCAGAACTTGCCTTTTCATGTAAACTTTGAATTTTTTCCTAACTCAAGAAATTCTTCAACCAATTAAAAAATTAATTTAAACAAAAAAAGCCTTGGCCAGGTAGCTCATTTGGTTAGAGCGTCCTCCCAATCAACCAATGAATTCATAAAAAATTGGAACAACACATCAATATTTCTCTCTTTGTCTCTAAAATCAATAAATAAAAAATAAAAAGAGCCTTAACCGGTTTGGCTCAGTGGATAGAGCGTCGGCCTGCGGACTGGAGGGTCCCAGGTTTGATTCTGGTCAAGGGCATGTACCTTGGTTGCGGGCACATCCCCAATAGGGGGTGTGCAAGAGGCAGCTGATCAATGTTTCTCTCTCATCGATGTTTCTAACTCTCTATCCCTCTCCCTTCCTTTCTGTAAAAAAAATCAATAAAATATATTTTTTAAAAAAGAAAAAGAAAAAAAATAACCTGGTGAATTATAATATTCATTCACTTCAATTATTAACTCGTAAAAAGTAGTTAAAATATAGTTAAAGAAAGCAGATTATCTTTCAGTATACTTCAGACTTTATTGCTGACATATCTTAAGAATGCTATTGCGTTAAATGGGAAGCAAAAAAAAAAGCAAAACAAAAATTATTTTCTAGCCAAAACCGGTTTGCTCAGTGGATAGAGCGTCGGCCTGCGGACTGAAAGGTCCCAGGTTCGATTCCGGTCAAGAGTATGTACCTGGGTTGCGGGCACATCCCCAGTAGGAGATGTGCAGGAGGCAGCTGATCGATGTTTCTCTCTCATCGATGTTTCTAACTCTCTATCTCTCTCCCTTCCTCTCTGTAAAAAATCAATAAAATATATTTTAAAAAAAATTATTTTCTAAAATGGTTTTCTCCATACCTTCCAATAGTGTCTCTGCCTTCATTTTTCACAGACTGATAAATCTTTCTCTCTTCATCTGAAAGTGTAATATGCTGAATAAATACTTTACGTTCTGGCAACTCCAAAACAGGTTTTCCTTTAACTTTGCTTGTCTTGGTTCTTCTAAGTGTAATATTTTTAATTAGGGACTGTAAACGCCTAGAAAAATAAAACAAATAATTACATAATTTGTTATTTCTATATAAGTTGATTCAACAAGAACAAAAAAGAATATTTTAAACTATTACCATTTTATAACCTTAGCGAAGGATTCCTTTTTTAGTCTCTTACTTGGACTTTTATCCAATCTGATCATCACAAACATATTCTACAAACAGAAAATTACAGCAACAAATACATTGAAATTTGCCCTAATTCAATACCTGTCACACAATTGAAAATTTCTGCTCTTCTCCCCATTTTTGTTCTAATTTCTAACCCTTTTACTTCTCAGTTCTTCAGCTATATCACCCATATTCAATACTCACATTCTTAATAAGCACCTATTAAGTGAAAGGAATTATACTAAATATCATAAAAATATAACACCTTCAAAAAGTATTTTAGTAACATGAAAATCAAGGTACATAAATAAATTTTATTAAGTAATGAAAAAAATAACACAATATAACAACCCAGAAGAGGGACAAATGCCTTATAGGTTCTATAATTTGGCACTCCCCCTTTTCAGTATCAGAATAAAAGGGGGCATGCCAATTTTTTTAGAAAAGGTTTTTCCTAACACTGAAATATAAATACCATTTCTTAAATTAGAATTTAAATAGCTGATTTGAAGGAATCAAAGAGGCGGTATTACAAGCTAGGTTAGTGGGTTTTGAATCTTTTTCACTAAAACCCAGAGTAAGAAACAAATTTCAGTCCATTCAGCAAACATACAAACAAACACATACAACAGAAACAAACATTCCACAAAATACCATGTGTGATGCACTCTGCTTTTTTCTTTAATCTTATAATGCTAGCTGCCCTCTTCTTTAAGTAATTTCATAACCGGCTAGATAATCCCAAAACTTCTGTTTGAAAACCAATATTCTAGGCAAAAAAGTTAAAATACATTAGTCTAGTACCTTGTAAAAATGGCTATTGCCAAGCTGAATTTTATTTATGTTCTTAACATTTACCTAACTCCACCAGAAATAACTTTCTCTTATGAAACTCTTGTTGATGCCACTGTACATCATTCCATCATTAAATTACCACTGTATAAAGCTATACAAGATAAGTTATGAAATTTGAGTGCATTTTGGACCCTCAGGGCCTATAAAGTTTTTCCTGTCACTACTTAAATCTTTATCTCCCCAAACAAGAATCACTAGATTCTGAGAGTCAAAGGCATAAAGTGGTAACACTTTTTGGAGATTAAAGCCAATAGCCAAGTTAAATAGTAATGAAAGTGGAAATTGGTTCAAGCTGCTAACAGTTATTTGTAACTAATCAGTTATCATGAAATTACTTACCTAAGTCCTCCTTCATCTCCCATTGTGACAGGTCGCTGTATTGTTCTATGCCACCACTCTCTATCAAGGAATGGTTTTAGTTTTAAAAAGGAAAGAAGAGACCACAAGTCCTTTAAAGAATTCTGAATTGGAGTACCTAAAAATAACATGAAATAGTTACAATTCTATAACCAGAATATCCAATCAGTATATCTATCTAGCTGAATTGAGACAATAGCTCAAAATGGACACTCTGTACCAGGCACACCCACCATCAACCTGTGACTATAATCCCTTCTTAGACATATACGTAATCTCAAAATACAGTTTGCTCTAATTTTTAGCTCTCATTTGCCATACTAACAAATAAAAAAAAAACTACAGACCCACTAAACTCAACTTTCTCCTTACCTAGAAAATTTCCTTGACTTAAAAAAAAAACTTTATTATTGAGAGTATTACAGATGTCATACCTTTTTTTTTTTTCCTCCATTGCTCCCCTCCATCCAGTTCCCACCCTGCACCATCCAGTTCCCACCCTGTTCTGTCTCATTGATCTATTTGCCTGTTCTTGTGCCAGTACCAAGCTATTTTGATTACAATGGCTTTGTAGTGTAACCTAATATCCAGTATTGTGATCCCTTCAACTTTGTTCTTCTTTCTCAAGATTGCTGTGGCTATTCATGGTCTTTTTTGGTTCCATATAAAATTTTGGAGTATTTGTTCTAGATCTGTGACATATGCCATTGGTATTTTAATAGGGAATGCATTGAATCTACAGATTGCTTTGGGTAGTTTGGACATTTAATGATGTTAATTCTTCCAATCCATTGCTTGCTTGATTTTTAAATCAACAGCACTAGCAAGAAAGCAAAAACTAATATGATTTTATATTCTCTTCCCCATCCTCTAGTAAAGCAGACTCTAAAATGGCAAGTAGAGAAATCAAGATTCTAATTGAAGGATTAAAGTATCTAATAAATGTCCACAGTTCAAGAGTGAGTCTAGTTGTCCCATAAACTGAACAAGTCAAATATTTTATTAAATGATTGCTAGGATTAATATTGGAACAGTCTTTATATCCACTTGAAGTTTACAAAGTTACCTCACTAACTCACTTAACAATACATATTTGGGAATTAATTTTTTAAAAAGTGTAATGCTATCATTACCTGTCAATACCCATTTTCTTTCTGCTTCTAAATGAAGTACAGCTTTAGTCTGCTGAGCATTTGGATTTCGTATGGCATGTCCTTCATCCAGGATCACTCTTAGCCACCTTATGCTATGTAATGGACTATCACCTTTCATCTGAAATAAATGTTTCATATGAATGAAAAACATAAGAAAGTAAAATAGTAGTTTATGTAATTTGATAAGTAATATGACTTAGTATTCTCAATATCAACTTACTATGTGTTAGGTATGGCTTTAAGCATTGCATACATTAAATTAGGGAATGTTTACAAGCTTATGAAGTATTATTACTCTTTTTTCACAGATGAGAAAATTGAAGCACCAAGATGTGAAGTATATTGTTCAAAGTATCACAGCTAGGAAGTGGAAGAGCTAGCATTCAAAGCCAGGTAATCAAACCAGGCTTGATCTGCTGTGATCTTGGTCCAGTACACTGAAGTACTCTGCCTCAGATTAAAATCCTATATAATAAAAGGGTAATATGCAAATTGACTGAACACTGGAATGACTGGTCACTATGACGTGCACTGACCACCAGGGGGCAGACGCTCAATGCAGGAGCTGCCCCCTGATGGTCAGTGAGCTCCCATAGGGGGAGCGCAGCTCAGCCAGAAGCTGGGCAAGTGCAGCGGCGGTGGCAGGAGCCTCTCCCGCCTCTGAGGCAGCACTAAGAAGCAGCAAGCTGAGCGGTAAGAAGCAGTGGGCAGGCAGGTGGTAAGGAGCGAGGGCTCCTGGACTGCAAGAGGGATGTATGACTGTTGGCTTAGGCCCGTGGGGAGTGGGCCTAAGCGAACAGGCAGACATCCCCCAAGGGGTCCCAGGCTGTGAGAGGGCGGAGGACGGGCTGAGGAACCCCCCACTGAGTGCACAAATTTTCGTGCACCGGACCTCTATATACTGATAATATAAAAATTATCACTCACAAGAAATACTTGAATACAACATAACTACTTTCTTTTATGTAAAAGTAAATGTGCTTATCAGAAGACTGGAATTTTGCCTGGCCATTGTGGCTCAGTGGTCGAGTGTTGACCTATAAACCAGGAGGTCAGGTTCAATACACAGCTCAGGCACATGCCCAAGTTGCAGGCTTGATGCCAAGTGGGGGGCATTCGGGAGGCATCCAATTCAATGATTCTCTCTCATCATTGATGTTTCCATCTCTCCCTTTCTCTTCCTCTCTGAAATCAATAAAAATATATTTAATAATTTTAAAAAGACTGAAATTTTCATAATAAAGTATTTTCAAAAATGTTTTAACTTAAAAACTGGAATTATAGGCAAACAACAATTAGACTTTTACATAAATTGGGAAACACAAATTTCAGCTACGAAAAAGCTTATTTTTAAACTGAGACAATCAAATCATTGTGATAGAAAATAATATTCTATAATAGTTAAAAGAAAATTCATTTACAAATTGTTATGTAGTTAGTTTAAATTCAAATTTAAAAATTGATTTTTAAGTGTTCTAAATGGAATGTATTCCTACATTAATATCTAAAGGCCAACTATTTCTTTTGCATAATATTAAAACATAAATTCCTGTTTATTTACTGTGTATTCTTAAGTATTTAGAAAGAAAAAAGTATGAAGCTTACATTTTAGAACACTTGAGAAACCTGAAGCATATTTTTTAAATTAAACTTTTGAAAATCTCTGAGTATCAGTATACTTACTCCATAGTCATGAGTTAAAATATTGTAAGTAGTCAAAACAATATCCTGTTTTGAAAGCAAAGCCGGGTCTCTAATACGATCAGGACCATAATAAACATAAAAATTCAAGTGCACATCTGATTTTATATGTTGTCCAAACTGGTCCTAAAGGAAAATTAGAAATATTTTAAATAATAAGCAGATTAGTATCAGGTTTAGTACTGACTTGGTATAGTCAAACAAATCACACTACTAAAATTACATAACATCAAGTTTCCTGCAATCTAAACTAAAATAGCAACAATAAGAATACTAATTATTATTTTATTGTCAGGAAAACTGGCATATATACTATAATAATACACTATATAAATTTTGCTTGGACCTACCAATGAGCAGCCACTTCATTTTTGACAGAAAAATACTACAAAGCTTCTTTAAAACAGTAATTAGTTCTTTTTTAATTTAATATTTTAATACACAGGATCTTTAATGCTTCCAGTTACTTGGTAGACTTAAAAATATCAAAATTAAACAGTAAAAGAATAGCAACCAGTATTTTCAAGATAGTAGATAAAGATTCAAACACAGTATCCATTTTCATTCAATATAGGCCTACTACATGCCTGGTACGAAGAAGAAAGGTAGTACAGCTAAAAAGAAAAATAAGAACTGGTCCCTGCTCTCTTTGAAGACATGATCAGTTTTTAAAACTTGAGTTTTTATTTTCTTAACATAAAAACAATATATGTGGATGAGTCAGAGCAAAAAAAACACACACAAATGATTAGAATAAAGACAGACGACACCAAAGAGAAACAGCTAGGAAACCATTTAGGTGAGAGATGATGAAGCCCTAAACCCAAATAGCATAGAACAGAATGGAAAGAACAGGTGTAAAAGAAACTCAGAAGGAACTCCTGGAACTTGAAGACTAATTAAATATGGAATATCTTCATGAAAGCAAATGCAAAGAAGCTGCTATTACTTAAAGTGACTGCCTAAGGGTACTGTGTAATAAAGACATAGGGAAGTTTAAAATAAAGAAGGGGAGAAGCAGAATAAAGATGAGAAAGAGATGATGAGTATTATTTCAAATGACATTTAAAATTTTGGGTTACTACAGAATATCTGACTAGAGAAGAATACTGAGGAGATGGAAGATGGCGGCGGTATAGGCAGACGCGTCCCAGGTCGTGTCCCGGAGCAAATGGAGTGAGCAGCTGAAACTAGTAACATCCATCCCGAATTGGCGAAATTGCTCAGCTGGTGAGACGGTTTGCAGCCGGGAAGAGCAGAACTCCCCTGGAAAGGTAAAAAAAAAAAAAAAAAAAAAAAAAAACCAGGGATTTGGGCAGGAAAGTTTGCAAGACCTCTGAGCCCAGAGAGTCGGAGGGAGACCGCGTGGCAGACAGCCGCGTCCCTTGGGACAGGCACAGCTCCTGACGGGGGAAAGGAGAACCACGGGATTCCTGGCGCCGCCGGGGGAATTGAGAGCTGGGTTCTGTGATCACAGAGGACTGAGCCTAAAGGGGGCAGCCTGAAGAGCTGACCAGACCATGCAGTCCTGGTAAGAGAAGAAGCTTACAGAAACCAAGCCTTCCCCGTTTCCGCGGCCGGCGTTTGTTTGTTTGTTTTCACTGAATCCTGTTCATGGGACATTTCGGATACAGACACTCACCTGTGCTGAAGAGAGGGAGAGGGTGCGGAGGAGTGGAATCTGGGGAGAGACTGAGGAGAGAAGGGGGGCCGGGAGAGGTGGCAGCGAATTGAGTGCTGAGACACCCCTGAGCCCAGGACTGGGGCAGCCATTCTCTCCAGAGAGTGAGACTCCTCCCCCCAGCCCCCAGGCAAGGAGCACAGCCACACCCAGATTCCACCTTGTAGGAGATCAAGGATTAAAATAACCTGATCAGTTCCTGGGAGTTAACAGGGTCTGGCCTATAGAGGGATTTTCAATCCCAGCAACAACACAGCACTGGTAACTATTACGCAGCCAGCTCTGGGCAGTGAACTTCCACTGGACAGAGAGGCTCTATAGCCTCAGAGGCCAACCCCAGAACACTGCCACCCAGAGGCTGACCCACAAACTGACTCTTTGCTAAACACAAAATAAGGCAGTCTGGGAAACAAATGCGGCTTGCTTTAAAATAAGGACTGTGGTTTACAACACAGAGGAACAGTGTATCACAGGGAAACTCAACACTCTCCTGAATACCTGGCAGGTCTAAGGCGAGCCACACTGAAGAATAGAAGAACCGAAGGACCTTCACTACTGCAATACTTTTTTTCTTTTTTCACCTTTTAACTAAGAAACCAATTTTTTTTCCTTTTTTTTTTCTTTTCTTCTTTTTTTTTCCTCTTTTTTCCATCACCTGATTTTACCCTTTTAATTACTACCTTCTTATTTTTCACCAGTATTATTACTGCTACCATTTTACCATTTTTTTTTAAAGTGCCATTTTATTTTCTCTTTATTTTATTTTGGGATTAGTGTTCTCCATTCTATTTTCATCGTTATATTATTGGTTGTTTCTAGTTTGCATTCATCTCCAGGGAGCTGTTGCTGGAATTTGTTGGGATTAATGGCTGTTCTATAGGAGTATTCTCCTCATATAAAAAAGTCTCTTCCCCTCTTCCACTTCATTCTCTCTTTTCGCTCTTTTTTTTTTCTTTTCTTTTCTTTTCTCGCTTTTATTTTCCCCCCTCCTTTTTCCCAATTTCATTTTTGCACTCCTTTTTTTGGTCCCTACTTTTCTTTTCTTTTTTCTCTTTTATCTTTTTCTCTTCCTTCTTCCTTATCCCCTAATTCTCTTAATTCAGGTGGTCACCTTTATTTGGGGTTATTAATATCGTGAATATATTTGTGTATAGTGCCTGGTACGTGGTGCCTTGTTGTGTTGTATTTTGTGCCTTTAAATCAACGCAGCAGATCCAAGCAACAGCAACCTCCTGAGCACCACACCCTCTGCTGAGGAACAGCAGCTGTACGTGAAACCTCGCCCCACCAGCCAGAAGAGCCACCACAGCTGTGAACAGCACCCACCAGAGGAGCTGCTGCCAACTGAAGAGCAGCTGCTACCGCAACCGCCCGAAGAGCAACCACAGACCAAGGAGTCACTGCCACCAAGGGAGCAGCCACTGAACGACTCAACATCTAGATATGTCAATGAGATCAAACATGGGTAGACAAAGAAACCCCCAAAGGAAAGAGAAGGAGGACTCTCCAGAAAAGCAGCTAAGTAATACAGAGGCATGCAACATGACAGAAAAAGAATTCAGAATAAGAGTCCTAGAGTGCATAAACCGGATGGAGGAAAAAATCGACAACCTCTGCAAGAAGCAAGAAGAAACAGATGAAAAAATCGATAACATATGGAAGAAGCTAGAAAAAACAGATGAAAAAATCAACAACTTAAGTAAGACTCAAGAAGAAATGAAGAGTGATATAGCTGCAATGAAAAACTCCATTGAAAGTATCAACAGTAGACTAGGAGAAGCGGAGGACCGAATTAGTGAATTAGAAGACAAGGAAGCAAAACACACCCAAAATGTACTGCAATTGGAGAAAAAAATGAAAAGACAGGAGGAGAGCCTAAGGGAGCTTTGGGACAACATGAAACGAAACAACATACGAATAATAGGGGTACCAGAACAACAGAAGGATGAACAAGGATTAGAAAACCTATTAGAAGAAATAATATCAGAAAACTTCCCTGAGGTGGGGAAGAAAAAAGTCACTCAAGCCCAGAGAGTCCCAAACAAGGTGAACCCGAAAAGACCCACACCAAGACACATCATAATTACCATGGCAAATGTTCAGGACAAAGAGAGAATCTTACAGGCTGCAAGAGAGAGACGGAAAGTTACATACAAGGGATCTCCCATTAGATTGTCAAATGATTTCTCAACAGAAACACATCAGGCCAGAAAAGAGTGGACGGAAATTTACAAAGTGATGCAAAGCAAAGGACTGAATCCAAGAATACTCTATCCAGCAAGGCTATCATTCAAACTTGAAGGGGAAATAAGAAGCTTCACAGACAAAAAAAGGCTAAGGGAGTTTATCACCACCAAGCCAGGAATGCAAGGAATGCTAAAGGGACTGGTATAAAAATAAGAAATAAAAAGCTCAGAAAGAAAACAGCCACACAAAAACAGAAATGGCTACAAACAAGTACCTTTCAATAATAACTTTAAATGTAAACGGACTAAATGCTCCAAACAAAAGACATCGAGTGGCTGAATGGATAAAAATACATGACCCATACATCTGCTGTCTACAAGAAACCCACCTCATTAGAAGGGACTCACACAGACTGAAAGTGAAAGGATGGAAAAATATCTTTCAGGCAAATGGAAAGGAACAGAAAGCTGGGGTAGCAATACTTATATCGGACAAAATAGACCTCAAAATGAAGGCCATAACAAGAGATAAGGAAGGCCACTTCATAATACTAAAGGGATCAATACAACAAGAAGATATAACCCTGGCAAACATATATGCACCCAATGCAGGAGCACCCAAATTCATAAAAAAACTCCTGGAAGATATCAAAGGAGAGATCGACAACAATACAATCATAGTAGGGGACTTTAATACACCACTGACAGCACTGGATAAGTCCTCTAGACAAACAATCAGCAAAGAAACAGCAATCCTAAATGACTCACTAGATCAGATGGACTTAATAGACATCTTCAGAACACTTCACCCGAAAGCCAGGGAATATACATTCTACTCAAATGCTCATAAGACATATTCAAAAATAGACCATATATTGGGTCACAAGCAAAGTATCCCCAAATTCAAGAAAATTGAAATCATAAAAAGCGTCTTCGCAGACCACGATGGCATAATATTAGAAATAAACTACAATAAAAACAACCCAAAATACTCAAACAACTGGAAGCTGAATAGCATGCTATTAAATATTGGTTGGGTTACCAATGAAATCAAAGAAGAAATTCGAAACATCCTGGAAACTAATGACAATGAAAACACAACAATCCAAAACCTACGGGACACAATGAAAGCAGTCCTGAGAGGGAAGTTTATAGCTCTACAGGCCTATCTCAAAAAACAAGAAAAAATGGTAGTAAATCATCTAACTCTACAACTCAAAGAATTAGAAAGAGAGCAACAAGAAAACCCCAGAGTGAGC